CTTCATTTGGAAACAGTGACCATCTGGAAAACCTCAGCTGACCTAAGCTATAATTTACTGGGTCTAGAACTGAAATAAAAATATAAATTGGACTCAAGAAACCTTAGAGACTGAAGCTGCTTGGATGGGTAGTAAGCACCGAAAACAGACTCCCCAGTCCTTGTGAAATGCGATAGGAGCAAAACCGACACTGATGTCATCCAACTCACCCTCAGTCTTTGACAGGAATACGTTTCCCCGACTGGGCTGCATGTGAAGGAGCTGCCATCTTTACTGCAACTTTAAACCCAAAATGGCAGGAAAGTGACCAAATGGACCGAGTTTTCCATCCCGGCTTCCCACTGTGGCTCTGAGCGACCCCCTTATGCTTTTCTTCACTGCACTTCCAGCAATGGCGACATCGCAACCTTTGCACGGGTTATCCAAGGGCTCAGAAGCCTCACCACAGGGAAGGCAGCTTCCTGATAAACTGCCGGTAAATCACCTCCACCACCTATCGTGCACGCACCACAGAGGCTCAGCTCCCCTAGAACACCGGGACAGGCTAGGGCACACTGTGTGCTGGCTCTGGGTTTGGGCAGGGCCCAGGTGGGGAGAAGAGGAGCAGGGAGGTGTCCCTGCCTAGAAGGAGGACCCACAGAGTCTAGCTCAGGAGACAGATAGATGCACTTGTGCAGGGGCGTGTTCCAAGTCAGAACTCAGGGAACCAGGGCCTGACAGCAAGCAATAACTGAGATGGAAGCTGACATTAACAAGTGAGCTAGCCCTTGGGCATACGGCTCAGTGGTTGAGCATCGACCTACGAACCAGGAGGTCACAGTTCGATTCTTGGTCGGGGCACAATCCCAAGTGTGAAAGGCAGCCAATCGATGATTCGCTTCCATCATTAATGTTTCTATCCCTCTCTCCCTCTCCCTTCCTCTCTGAAATACACACACACACACACACACACTAAAGTGAGTGACCCGGTGGTAAAACAAGAGAATTCTAAGAGAGGAGACAAGGCTTACAAGTGTTGGGAGGCCTCCAGGAAGAACCAAACATTGAGGTATTAGAATGTGAGGCCAGCTCCCCTGCCCCAGGAGTCAGAGTGAGTTCAGCTGGGTCCTAGCCATAGACGAAAGCCCTGCATGGAGGCTACGGTGCCCAACTCCAGCCCTTCATCAAGGATAAGGTCACTGTTGCCCAGCCCTGCGGGCTCTTGCCCCAAAGAGAAAAGGACAGGGAATCATGAGTCACTGATGAAAGAATTACTATCCTTCTGTGAGCCAGAGGCCAAGGGCTCCCATGGCCCACAGCACAGCACTCCCTCCTCCCCCTCGGTCTCTGAAAGCTTCAGAAGGGGAGATGGAGATGGGAGGCCCAGAAGTCCCCATGCTGGGGTCAGCAGCAGCGTGCTAGTGTCAGAGGCACAGGGACAGAGACCAGGTCCTGAGGAGGACAGGGGAGAGAAGTGGGCAGACTACTGGGGCTCTGTCCAATTCCTACACCTGCTTCCAACTGGCTAACCTGCACCTACAGCTCTCATTAGGACAGAAATAAATCATGGTGTGTCCCCAGCTATGCAATGCAAATTCAGTAGTTCTCAGCAGTAAAATGTGGGTTAAGATCCAGAACACCAACAAGCCAAAGAAATTAGCCAAAGCACATGGGTCAACAGAAAATACTGCACTTAGGATGGTGGATTAAAATCAATTAGCAGGAGAGCCCTGGCCGGTGTGACTCGGCTGCTTGGAGCGTCGTCCCATGTATGACAAGGTCACGGGTTCAATTCCCAGTCAGAGCACATACCTAGGTTGTAGTTTTGATCCCTGGTCAGGGTGCACAAGGGAGGCAACAGATCGATGTACTAGTATCTCTCTCACACCGTTTCTTGTCTCTCTCTCTCTCCCCCACCTCTTTC